AGATTGATCTGGAGTAAGTGATTTCAGCTTGGATTTCTGGCACTGTCGCTTCACTGTTGCTGCATGAGCAATGAGACTGTCGCAGTCCCTCTTGCACAGCTTCAGGCAGTTGTGCCGATTGTTGAAAAGCGATGCCTGATCGCCGTGCATCTCTGTCAGTCTGGACATTGTCTCATCGAAGCTGAAATCTTGAACACTCTTGGCCAAAATGTACTTGATGTATCTGTCATGCTCCACAGTTCCGAGTTTACGTACCAGTAGCCGTACTTTTTACTCATCATCAAGATTTGCCAACTCCGTCCTGAAGGTATCTTCGTATCGTCTGAACTTTGCGTTGGAAATCAGCCCTGAAGCGGGATCAAATACAAACTCATTGACACGGTTGATTATTGCTTCAACTGAAGGCTTTTGACTGGAGTGATAGTGTTCGAGTTGGAGGTCTCGATCATTCGCAGCAATGCGACCTCGAATTGCTGATGTTGTTAATGCAAAACAGCTTTCAGAGCTTTACTTCCATCGCCAAAACCTGTTGTGTTTCCGTTGACAGTACGGATAACTGGTGCAGGCACTCGGATCACGATGCAGCTACTTTCCAAATCAGAAGACAAAGATCTCGGGCGGGAATTGTATGGAGCACTCGTAAGACAATGTACAGCCGAAACATTGGGTCAAACTAAATGGTTCATGAGAGAATGACCTAAATGATAGTTCCTGACCATAGCAACTACTAGATGCGCGAAAACTCGCTTGTTGGCTGTTCAAGTAGTGCGCTTACTGTAGGACCTCTTGGCAGGTCATTCTCATTAGTCCACTTCAATATAATTCGATGCCATTTGCTTTCTCTCATTGGCTAGCCACTCAGCTACAGGCGGCATGCGACCAATCTTCTCCGGGCTGATTCAGAGAAAGGGAGAGAGCTAGCTTTGGGGGCTGCTATGAACGGGCTTCCGTAACAGATGTGCGTCACAATTGTTGTTACATAGCTGTGGCCGAGCCGCTTGTCAGCCGCCACAGAAGAAGGTCGGACACTGTTGTGCTGGTTTGGATCTGACCGCTCAATTTGGAAAATTATCCACTGATGAACTGCATCTCTGTGGCCAACATGGTGTAGGCCCCCGTAGTGATAACGGTGATCGGTTACTTCATTTGCGTGAAGATGCTCGCTTATTTTATGCGAGCTGTGATTTCCGACACAGCACCCTCCGGAGGGTTACTTGGCGCCCGCGAGCCTCGAACCAGCCATGGACGCAAATCGACCACATTGCGATAAGTTACCAATGGAGAGGCTGCGTCCAGAACTGTCGGTCGATTTGGAGCAGAGGTGTGGACACCGACCATGTGCTGATCTGCGGATGCGTTTTGGCGGACGCCCACGTCGACGTTATGAGCGCATTGACACCAACCAACTGGCGAAGCCAGCTGTTCTGAATGCCGATCAAAGTACGCTGTCTTGCGGGTTGAGTAATCGCTCACTGTTTTCAGGTTCACCAATCCTTACTAGCAGCAGGAAAATCCTCATGTGGAAAGTCTAATCGCCAAAATGGACATTGGGTCTCTTCGCAGTCTCTGGAACTTATCGATGCTCGCCGGCATGTTTCGGCCGGAAGCCAACACAATGAAACTCGGAAAGAGCTCCGAGCAGAACGTCAGGCTGATCTGAAGAGAGACCGCGAATCCTGGTTGTCTAATGGTGCTTCCGAGTTGGAAATGGCCGCTGCCCTTGGTAATCATCGTAAGTTATTCCGTCTGGTACGGGAAACGGGCAGCAGAAGACCTGGTGTTAGTGAAACTATACGTGACAAAAGTGCACAACCTATCCACAACTTGTCAAAACGCTTGGAGCGTTGGGCTGGGCACTTTGAAAGGCAATTTAATCGGTCGGAATTGTTACATTTCTCGCTGGCCACTGATTGCTTAGCTCTTTGGGCTGTCCATTTGGATCCACCCTCTCCCTCAGAAGTCGAACATGAGATCGCGCTGTTGAAGTTAAATAAAGCCGCGGGATCAGGTGATCTTCTTCCAGCCCTCTTCATTTTCGGTTGACCTGTTCTTGTGAATGATTTATACGACTTACTAGTGGATCTCTAGGAGCAGGAAACTGACCCTGCCGACTGGAGCCGCTCTGTCATAGTCCCAATTTTCAAGGTAGGCTCACGATCGGAATGCGGCAACCATAGAGGAATCAGTGTTATCTCCATCGCCTCCATATTGCTTGCCCCTGTCATCCTTCACAGACTGACTGGCACTTGTAAAAGCCATATTTGTGAAGAGCAAGTCGGGTTTCGTCGATGTCGTGGCTGCATTGACCACATCTTCACTTTGCGTCAGTTTTTGGAGCACCGTCACATATATTGGCGGCCCACCGTTGTCGTGTTCCTCGCTGTCAAAGGTGCATTCGATTCGGTGTATAGACTTGGACTCTGGGATTGTCTACTCAGGAAAGGTGTACCTGAGAAATATGTAAATATTATCCCATCATTATACGCGCGTTGCTCAGGCAGAGTTAGGGCTTACAGCACGGTGTCGTCATCATTTTATATCTCCATCGGTGTGAGACAAGAATGCCCTCTCACCTTTCTTCTTCAACTTCGCTATTGACAAAGTCATGGAAATCGCGTTCGCAGCACACGACTTAGAAGATGTGGATCTAGTCCCAGGAGAACGACTTCTTGACTTGGAGTGTGCTGACGATATTGCCCTAATCTGTGGCAGCTCACGAACGTACCAAGCGGCACTGGACAGATTAGCACTGGCTGTCCATCACTTCGGGCTTTGCTTTTCACCATCGAAGTGCAAAGGGTTCCTCCAGGATTGGCCTGGACCGCCTCCTAGGCTGACCATTGTTGGGGATCAGCTAGAAGTCGTTCGAAAATTCAACTACGTGGGACGTTGTATCAGCGCCCGTGGGATTGAAGATGAGATCACAAACCGTTTTGCGAAAGCTCGAGGCGCTTTTGCTAGCCTTTGCCACTTATGGCGCCGGCGCGGCACCACTCTCGTCCTGAAGGGTAGAGTGTACAATGCAGCGATACGTTCGACCCTACTGTACGGTTGTGAAACCTAACCCCTTAGATCGACGTACATAAAGAGGCTAGTTACGTCCGACCACCGGTGCCTTCGCAATGTAGCTCAAATCTGGTGGGAACACCGAATGAGCTACGGGTGTGTTCGTCGCCTTGTTTACGGCACAAGAAAAGGAAATGAACCGCTCAGCACCGTTATTTCACGCACCAGGCTCTGATGGCTCGGCCACGTGTTACGCATGCCAGCCCATCGACTCCCGTGAAGTGCGTTGTTTACTCGCATGCGGTGTTAATGGGATAGGAGTAGGAGTGTCTCTGCCATGAATTGGTCGAGAGGAATGAAAACCTTCACTTTGAAATGGCCTCGGTTGGAGCGTCTCGGCTCCCTGGTTGAGGTCTGCAAGACGATGAACACGTTTGGCTGGATACACTTGTTGATATAGCTAGGAGCCGACCTCAGTGGCATTCATACTGTGAGTTTCTTTGTCCCACCCCATCCATCTTAGCCTATCCCTGTAACCACGATCTCGCTATTTAGCCTTATATAATTTTGCATGGTTAATATTTTTTACTGCTTACTTGCCGGCTGGTGGCTTACCGAAACGATGCCTATCCGTTATTGATGGCACAGCTGGCTTGCACCTGTTGTACTCTTCCTCTTTTTCTTTTATGTATTTCGGCATAGTAGGTGACGTGTTTCCAACCTATAGCCAACGTGTATACTGATGATGACTACTCGCGTTGTAGCAAAATTGCCGTGGTCGTATTTCGGCATTATCCATCTCAGCAGACCGCGGCTCAAGACCGCTCTCCATAACCGAAGTTGACCACATTTTAACATGTATTCCGATTGCGCAGGCCACTTTTGTCGCTTTACTCGTAAGCCTATGATAGGGCTTTAGCACCACCGCTCCCGATCATTTGCAGCCGTGTACCTGTGACTGTCCTGTTAGCCGGACACATTGCCATCGTACGCCCGAGCTTTGGTAGGTCGCTCAAAACCTTGGGCTGCTCCAGTGCCAAACCAGCCATAAGATCGCTGATGGGTCTCGCAGTACCGTGTTCGCAGCCCCATGCCACCGGTGGCGTTCGCAAGGCATGCCTTTACTTACATGGTGACCCACTGAACCCTCTACCCAGTCACACCACATGTTTGGACAACGTGCCCCTAAGGTGCGTTTAAATGGCTTTAAAGTAGGCGCTCGTTGCTGAATAGAGGCTAGAATGCCCGCGCGTCTCCACCACACACCACCAACTCATACATCTATGCAAGGGTTATTACATCTACCGTCATCGGCTGATTTGGGCTGACTCAATTCTAAGGACGCTGCGCGCGCATGGTGCGTCGGACAGATACCGGATGCAATTCAAACGCGTTAAGGACTATATTCAATTGGCTTGAGGATGCAAAATAGATCCGTAGAGAGCAATTAAATTGCACGATTGATGCAATCAATCAGAAAACGTGTAGTTCTTCCTCAGTCGCCTATGCTTGTCACGTGCTTTTTAGCACTGTCGTATTAACGGAGACGAATACTGTTTTGCCGTCTGTGTGTGTTGCGTTGACGTGGCGCCAACGGAATGTAGGTCAGATAGAAAGTGCGATTCCGAAACACAGTGTTTAGAAACCTCTAAACAGGGACATAACGCCATATTACTTCCCTATGCATAACTCTCCACGTGCATCACAGTTGGTTCACTGATGAGCCATGTGAAGTTCTGTGGTTTGTAACCCCGTGCGCTCTTCTGGCGATCGCGTTCACTGCACAACCTTGTTTTCTTGTCTTGGTCACCTTGACGCCATCAGATGCATCCGAACAACCGCTTAATTGACGCAACTGCTCTGACTTCATAGTGGGTTTGCAATTTTCAGCATATCGCTCTGGTTATCAATCGATTCGCGTGCAATTCGTTTAGATCGTCTCCCTTTCTTGGTTTTTTTTACTGTTGTTAACATAGCTGTATTTACTATTGCAGAGAAAAAGCCCCACAGATGCGAGCATTGTGACAGATGCTTTTCTCAGAGGAATGTGTTAAGAAGGCACATTGAATCAGCGCATTTAAGTGAGTATTTGTTTTAGGGTGTTAGATGTTTTCCATTATTCTAGGTGTGCTCACCGTTATTTTGCTGAATTTCTTCGGACTGTCTGTACCACATGGTGCTACGCGTTGTATGTGACGTGGTTTAGGTGGTCATGTTTGCGCCTACATGGGCTTTCTTTCCCCCTCGTGTTATCGATCCCAGGAAACTAAACTAATCACTGAGCGAACCTGTCAAGTTGCTACACACTGATGATGCCACCTCAGTTGATCCCGAATCCCGAATTGTCAAGCCCGACGAGCACGTCTACGCGTGAGCGGTCAACCTCAGCTCACAGTGTTTCGAGTAATTTCGATCTTCAGCAGCGGGGAATTTCTTACGCATTGTTGGTTCCATGATCCTCTGATTCTCACGGGCTGAGCACACTCGACCGCCTGGCATGTTGGTGCTATAGTTGACCCCTATGTTAGATGGATGGGCGTATTACAGTAAATATCTACGGAGCGATGGCGGGATCAGAATGCTATATATTGTTCTCGCCTCGTTATTTGCAGCATGAATGCGGAGAGAGACATTAGCCATTGTATTCACTGTTCGTTGACTTCACCAATGCATCCCATACGGTGAACCGCGAGGCATTGTAGCTTGTGTTGGGTATGGTTGTTTGTCCGAATAAGTTTGTGAGTTTAGTTGTCTGCACAGTGGTATGTGCGCGAGGGTGCAGCTGAGTGCTTCAAACGTCGGATGACTTTTCTGTTGTCTCTAGAGGGAAGCAAGGCTTTGTCTTAGCCCCTGACCAGTTTAATATTTACCTCTGTTCAGTGATATTTTGTGCTTGTGATTACGATTTCCGTGTAGAGCACTGTGTCGATGGTGATTTGCTGAACATCCGTCGTTTCAGAGCGATAACCCTTGTGTGTTGCTGTATGTTGCTTGTATGTTGCTGTTTGCAAACAACTTTGGGTTGTTTACGCACAACGCGGATGAGTTGTAGCACATGACTTGGGTTTTCGCTTCGACTGCGGCCAAATTCGGGCTCACTATCAACACAAAGGAAACTGTCTACCTTTCTCAGTGTACACCAGAAATGGGATCCGTATGCTTGCCGCCAATACGTATCGGGGATGACATTTTGGACTCCACTCCAAGATTTCGCTACTTGGGTAGTGTACTTTCGACAGATTGGCGGATGATTAACGAACTAGGTGTCCGCGTATGGGAAGTGTCTGCTACGTTTGGAAAGTTGGAAAAGCGTGTATGGACCAACCACCATCTTACTGTTGGAGCAAAGCTGCTGGTATGCAAATCGATGGTGCTATATGTTCTTCAGTCCGGCAGCGAAGCGTGTATGAAGTGCCGGAAAACGTCAGATATCTGTAGCGGCACCTGAGGTGGCTCTGGCTTTGCAGCCGAATGGATTCGAGGAGGATATCCAAACAGATATTTTACGGTCAACTTAGTGCAGAAAAGAGATACTTGGCAAAATCGAGATTACGTCTCCAAAACATGATCAAAGTGAGTTTATTATGAACGAATGTTTATGTCAGGTGTTAGAGATCAAATGCAGCTGATCGGCGCGTTTGGCTTTAGCTGGTCAGGAGGGCGGTTTGTTAGGTGCAGCAGAAAGCACTCTTACATGCCGAAGGGAAACGGCAGGTGCGGAAGCAACGGGCGCCGATGGATTCTAGGCCATGGATGTCGAGCCCATGGTCTTTTAGCACATGTGGTTGCGAGTGCCTCAGCCAAGTGGGCTTGGTAAGCCACCGGCGTAGCCACGTGGGGCTAGCGTCCAAAAGACCACGAGCCAACTGATTATATAAGCATAACCAACACAGGCACTGGTAGGTGAGCTGTGTCCGGTTCCATTCGATTTCCTAACTCAGGCCAATTAGGTGGTTCGTGTAATGTGTGTTACATCGTCGTTGCAGTTTGTGTGTATGTGTGTGAGTGTGTGTTGCAGTTTGTGCCTGCGTGTTGTGTTTCTTACATTTCAGGGCTTGGCTGTTGTTTGATATCCCCCGTTTGGCTGTGTTTGATGTGAATGTTGGCAAGGCACCTACCTGTCTATCAACCACCTCGTCTATGCTGGCTCCAGGAGACAGTTGATCGCTGCTGGATGGGACGGGATGCACTGTCCTCCTGGCAGTGCTAGGCTTAAAGAATGGTTCGTTTCATCCATTGTGGAACGAGCTGCGGTTTAACCACCGCTTTGTCTGCGTCTGGTACGCATGATTTCGGATTTAGACCTAAATGTTTCTGCTCTGCCTGTTGAAGGAGTGTGGGCTTGTTTCTTGGATGAAACGTGGCTCTCATCCACGTACCTTTCGGGCTTGCACTGGCAAGCCACCCGTGGTCCATCTGTTGGGTCAGACGTTCTGTGGAAGTCTCAGTGACACAGAAATCAGGAACTGGGTGCCGGTAGCCATATTGTGGCTTCAGGATATTCGTCGAAAAGAAGTGTTTTCTCTGAATTGAAAGTGGCGACACTGGGACCAACATCTTATGTTTCTGAACACTCGCGATTTCTTAGTTGAACATTGTTTTAAACCCAGTGGAGCGACAGCTCTATGAAGTAAAGTATAATAAGAGGGCGAGAAGGGGGACTTACCTGAAAACCTTAATGCCCTAAGCAAACATTCAGGGTCAAGGCGCCTTCGCCTGGTATATATAACACAACGTCGCAAACTGCTAGCTATAGTGCAAAAATAAGGCACCATCGGCAAGACAGCTTCCTTTCGGCCTTCACTGACCCGCGTCATAATCAGCCATTATCCCGCAGATAACTCAGCACCAAACACACTTTAAACAGGCAATCCCATTAGGAGACGGCAGCAGACGCGCCACTGGTGTCGGTTGCGAGCCATGTCCTGTAAAGGCTCGAGCCAAGCACAAGTCGAATCACATGGACTCCAGCCCGAAAGGTGACACGGACCAACGGCACCCAGTTTGCTCGCCAGTAACTTAATTTTCCGCTGCCAAGTCAAGTTCTGTCCACCTCGAGCCTTGCGCCACCCTACACCTGGCAGACTAAACAAGGCCCTCCTAGGTAAGCGGTGACCAGGCATACGTAGCACGTGCCCGAGCCAACGCAACTTGTTCAGTGCCGTCTGTCGCTCAAGGGAAATAACATGATTATGACTACGTACTACTCGCCTACGCACATTTCATCGGAGTCAACATTGCGTGTTTTCACGCTGAATCTGGATACTCTTGTGCGAAATTTCCTACCTCTCATACCAGCTAGTTTAAAGTGGAGTGAATGAGCGTCGTATATCATTTTGCTTTCCTGTACTATCGACTCCAGGAACGGTCTTGTATGCAGCGCCAATTGAATTTATTTCTAGAAAAATCGATCAGCACATCCGTTGTTCAGCTAAAAACCAATCGCAGGCCTACTTCTAGCCAGACAACTGAAATTCCAGCACATCCGGTCTTCCACGAGTTGGTCGTCGTTGTGGTGCAGTAATGGGGTTCTAGCCAGAGAATGGAGGCTTCGCTTCGTCATCTGGAGTTGCATTATCACCAGATCGAATGGACATTGGAGCACTCTCTTGTTGGTTCCAACACTCTATGTGCTCACGTTGCGAGTCTATTCGGCATTGGTTTACGAGAAAAAATGTGCAACTAGTTTGTCCTTTAGGAAGGCTCAACCACTTTCACGGACAACGTTTTTTTTTGGTCTGTTGGGTCCCTCTTTTGATACATATGGCGAGGAACATCAGTCGGTAGCGGATCCACGTAGATTGACTTCTATGCATTATTTGTTCAATGACCGAGTCCATGGAGTTCTATTTCTTTTGATTCCGTTGGTCCACAACTTGCTGTGAGTTTAAGTCTACCTTTGTAGCGTAAACGTTTGGCTATTTGTTAAGTCATATGACATTGTGATTGTTTATTTCTCTGGCATTGTTACATTGTTTCTAGTTGTTAAGAATGCATGAAATGGCATCTTCATCTCAAAAACTACGTCTTCCGATTTCCTTCTCCGGGAACTTCTTGTTTCTTTCCGATTGGTTCGATTTTATCCCGTCGTATGCGCACCTGCGGCGAGATCAACGATTCACAGGTAAATTGCCTGCGGCACTGTGTTGTGTAATACGGTATTGTAGTTGGATCCTATTCATGCAAGTTTCCGACCGTTGCTTAGCCACTCCTTCTTTCACTAGTGCGCTTGCTCTCATGCTTTGGTCTTCTGCTGATAGACGGAATGTTACCGAGTCGGCGTGTTTGCTTTTGTTTTGTTACGCTGTTTGTCCGGGATTTGACTGTAAGAAGACGTGATGAGGTCAGCTAACAACTCGTTCCGTAGGAATGAACGCTTTATCTTCGAGGTTAAAAATTGTATCAGTAGTACGGCAGTACCACTACCGACGCTCTGCTCTCGCGCACCTACTACCAATCGCGCGTGGCTTAAGGATACTGCGAGGGTAGCCCGGTTCCCTACGCAGTGTCGAACCCGCCACATCTGGGTTGCAGGACCATTTTGTGATCCTTTAGGCCTCAGTTTGTGCCTCCAGACTCCGGTTTTTGGATTCCAGATGGTATAAATACGTCTGTTTTGTGGTGCTTTTGTGCTGACGTGTGATGAGCTTCTCTGTTCCTGACCTGCAATCAATATCGTATTGTGTAATAAAGATAACACACGGTATTTTTCTCTTGTTTTTGTTTCCATCTAATTGAGTTGTATTGCGTTACACAAGCCCAAATTTTCTCATTGTTTAATAACCTGTAGCATGATGATGAAGCCTTTTACAGCTAGTTTTAACTTTTTTTTCTTGTGCCGGTAAGCTGCTGCACTACAGTGCAGTGTTTGCAGTGATCAGCCCTGAAACCCGCCCGCTTGCTTGACACTTTCTTATCTCAACTGCATGGATATCGCGTGTATGATAATCTCTTAATTCATCGCGATAACTGTACACCACCGGGAGGATAACTTGCAAATTGCTACACACTAAGTGGCAGTCTGCAATATGCGATGTGCGTTTCGACCACTGATCATCCATAGTTTGCCCTTTTTTGCTTGCTTCACACACTCTGTCTATCTGCAATTGTTTCTTTTGCAGAGGGATCTACAGACGAAAAGAAGAGTTGTTCATTCACATACTCAAGCCTGGAACCCGTTGTTTAACTCTGTATTTGTCCCACATCATAACTTACATTTCCCCTTTTGATACATAGGTAGATTTTTGGCCGTATTTTGTGATAAACCCTTTTGCGATAAAATGGCTGATCTTTTGTTCCGTGGAAGGTTTCAACTACTACCGTATGGTTTTAGTTGTGAAAACTGAATCTATTTGCAACTCCCACTACACACAAGCCGATGTGTAATTCTGACTTGATATACCTTACCTACGTTTTATCCAAATTGTCTCTGCCTGCATGAGCACAACGCATCAGATGCTTTTGGTCGATTTAGGCAGAATGATGGGGCCACCTTTCACTCCATGCCTGACACCAGTGCACTTTCTTAGGACCAGCGACGTCATACACCATTCCCTCGGACGCAATCGGGTACCCGACCGCCTACCGTCATTGATGTGTTGAATTCACTTTATTCAGGAGATTTCGATTGTTAATTATTCCGCCACTCTGGGCTTGGTCTCATTCTTGTTTGATTTCTTCTGTTTCTACAAATGTGAGTAATAACAATACCCTCCACCTGTTTTACTGGGATCTCTATCTACACCTCGAACAGATCATGATTTCTGTGGTGTTATGTCTAAGCCGTGTTTTTCCCAGGAACTCATCTTGTTATCTCACTTTACATGTGGATATGGGTGGCTAACTAACTCCAAACTACATCTACATCCGGAAACTTTCTTACACGCTCCTCCAACAAACGGAAGGAAACTTGCTTGCTTGCAATTGCAATACACGTCGAGGGTTTGCATTAATCGAATACAAACTTGTTACCACATGCTTGCGTTCCTCTACTTCATGAGAACATCCTGGAGGATCACTCGCAGAGCGATGTGCACTATACAAAGAGTAGCTGACGATTATTCTTCCTGCACAAGACGCATTGCGATGATGAAGATTACTTAGTTGTTGATAAAATCGACTCCAAAATGTCCGCAATGTGTGAAAACCATCATTCCTTTTCATATTCTTTTCCAAAATGACCGACTGTTTCGTAGTAGTCAGTGGGAATGATCATGTTTGCTCCGCGATTATTACCATAGAGGATGTTCACTAATTGTTAGCTAGCTGAAATGGGAGACAGCTTATTCAGTTGCCGACTAAGTAGGCAACCTTAGGGAGCAATTGTCCGTACTTATTTTTCAAGCTCCATCGGGAAATCGGCTGATGAAGGCGCCATAAACTCGCTCAACCGCAATATCCTTTCGGCAATAGAGAGGCGGTTTGCTGATGACAGATTCTCCTCAGTGTCAGCCCTTGACTGAACTAACTAACCTAATGATCATGATTGTGTAGGCGTGCTTCGCTTCGTCGAAATACATATTTATTCGTTTACTTACATCTTTAAATAACTGGCCGTATCTTTGTACGATACCAAGCGAACGTTTGAACAGTAAATCTCCCTCGTGCATTGATGCGCAAAGTGTAGTGAACGTACAGGTTCATATGCGTTTGTCTTATTCACTCCTTCGAATCGCGTACCCTGTATGCCACGGGGATATTGTAATAGATTTTCACTCCGTTGTCGCGTTAGATTAGCCGCGAAGTTGCACGTGACGCTAAAACGGAGTGCGTAGTCAACGCACACTATTTCGTACTATGTCCGCGAAACTAGACCATTTCTCACTTGCTAGCATCCTTAAAGCAGTCGCTTTTATTCTTATGGGTCAGCTATCATCCGTAGTGCAGCACTTAGCATCCGATCCTCGCCAGATTTGCATCCACCATCGTATTACTTGGGCAATGGCTAGCAGCCAATAGGATCTGGCATATCGTAGCGACTAAACCTACAACTCTGCATGCTCACGCCTTTGGAGGGAGGTGGGAAAACTGTTTGATTTAGGTGAGACCAGCGTGATCCAAATCTTATGGACGACAATCGGGACCTTACTAACCGGACCTAAGCCATTGAACAGTGTGCCGCGCCCTCTCACTCGACAATGGGGGTGTCAAAGATATGTGCTAGAGCGCGCAGGCAAGGTCAACACAGAGATCATATCCGAAACATCGGGTTGAAGCCTGAAGTGAGTCGGGTGCGTAGTCAGGCCCCTACTTTGAGCGAGGAAAGGATATGTCTGTTTGAGGCTAGGGCGCAGTTGGTGCATGGAGGACCCGAGTGGACAACGTTATCTTGGTACTCCAAAGCGTTCTATGCAAGCGGTGCGGATAGATTACCTTCGATCGGATTGTTAGGGACGCAATACACGCTACCGTCTGATCTCTAAGTCAAGTTGACAGTAACCTAGGTAGCGGAATCATATCCGTCGCAGCGGAGTAAATACAATTCACTCCACCTAACCTTTTGCTTTATGCGATGAAATATCACTTTGTGACGGATCCTCAGGTATAAGCTGAGAGTGGGGTAGATAATCATATTCCAACCAATTCGCTCGCATAGGAACCACACAGATCAAATCTGATCGAGACAGAACAACTCGCGGGCGGTATGATGT